TTCCTTGGTGGCTCAGCCCCGGGTCTCTGGTTTCATTTCCTTTTTCCTGATCACGATTCAAATACAATAGAAGGAAATCACACTTAAAGAGACAGCTGCCCGTTTCTGAACCGGACTCCCGGGGCTTGAGCAACACGGCCAGCAGTATCGCGACTCGCTGGGCTTCTTAAAGAGACAGCGCCGGGGCTCCCCAGGGCCAGGGCTGGGAGCTGGCGTTGCACATTCACCTTCCAAGGGCATTTAACGACACTTTCTCGGGGGACCGGGGGGTGCTCAGGTAGGTAGGCAACCTGAAAATGATCCCAAGGGCTGGAAAAGAATCAATGCCTGGTCCCCTACTACCGCCTCCTTCTCAGCTCCACACAGGACCAACGCGACAGTGACGGTCTCCCTCTTCTCCTTCTCCTACAGATATATATGCACATGCCCATGCGCACACATATTTCTGTACGCTGCTTTGAGATCCACAGGTAAAGAACCCAAAGTGTTATTCTTCTACCTAGGATTCAAACCAGTGTGCTAAATTGTGTCTCGTTCATAACCCCCAGCGAACATTTACGGGTGCCTGCTTCTAGACATCCTCTAGCTCTTGGCAAGCAATATAACAAATTTATGTCTTGACACCACTTGATGTTAACGAGCTATAAAAGCTGGAGAGTACGAAGTATCGATCGGTAATTAATCACGGAGAAGCTAAAGATGGGAAAGCTTTGCCTGAATATCTCTATTTCCCCTCCCACCCTTCCTCCTCTCCATCAGCACCGCACGTCCCGGAAAGGACTGATGTGCACTGCCAGGGTGAAAACTGTTACAGCAACTTGAGCGTTTCCCAGTCTCCGTGGCATTAGATACTGGCCGTTGCTGGAGGCAGAGCGCCGGATGAGATGAACTCCTTGCCCTCTTTAATTCCTTTAAAAACACTAAGAAAATATCTGTATTAAAGCACTGGAGAACAGTAGTAGAAATACTGCACTTCTGTATTCATTCCCAGAAGAGAAATGTATTTGATGTCTATTTTTGTGACTACATTCTAATTTTTTCAGCTTTTTGGCAGCTAGGGATATGATATCCGCAACGCATTAATGAGCCCGATTCAGAGATTAGCAATGTCGGCAGAAGGGCTGTTGCTCATTTCGAGGGGCTTTGAACCAGGCTCTCGCAATACTTTGGAGCCATCACTGGTCGTTAGAACACATCTTTCTTATTCTTTAAAAACATTATCTCCCATGTATTTTAGGCTACTACAGTATGGCGGTCACTCTTATTTCTGTTGGAGGCGAAGGCTCTTTTGTTAGGTTTTCACAGACAGGACTGAATTATATCATGACTATTTAACTGCTGATGTATTTACACTGCGATCAGAAAAGTAAAATGTTGAAAGTAGAGGCTAATACGGGTACCCCCACCCCCCACCCCCCAATAATTCTTCTAGGAACTTTATTATGTCGGTTTAAAAAAATCAGGAATTGAATGTAAAGGTGGATCGAAAACATGCATAAGGACTTCAAATCTGTTAAAAAAACCAAAAAAAAAGACATTTCTATGTGCTTGGTTTCTTCTGGCTGTGTCTCAAGGTTTGATAAAGTATAAACTCCGAGTCAGAATCCCCCTGATGATTGGGGTATTCAGATTCTGAACAGCTCCTGATGGAATAATGCGAACAATTCCCTGGTGCCAGGTGAATTTTCTGGTTTCAGACGACACAGTTGTGCATACGCTGCAGACATACTGGCATGCTGCCCCCTTCTATTTATTTCTCCAAAATTCACAGGAAATTAATAACTCGAAGACCTCTGTCCCTTTGTCTGTCTAAAAGAGACAGTTCAAAAGTTTCGGTGGGGGACAAAAACATCGACACTGGCACATAAAGAATTACTTAATTCCTTAGAAAAACAACATAAAAATGGTGACTTCTAATACACAGTGGCCAGTGGTTATTGGAAAACACAACTTTTAAGCTTTTGCAATGCCTGTATTCCTTGCTTTGGTCAGACCACCTCAGGTCTAGCAGATGATTTCGCTGAAGCTAATGAGATATTTCTCATATTCATAGTTGAGTACAGGCATTGCTGGGCACACCAAGAACACTCTCTGCTTTGCAAGAGAACCTTAACCTGCAGGAAGCTTTTCTGCATAAAAACAGTGGAACAAGGTGCAATAAAGACACTGACGAGGACAATTTGTAGGCGTTTTATCGTCCTCCTTTTCAGTCAGATCCAGAACAAACTTCCTAGGAAAAGTCAGATCTTTAAGCACAGCGCTCATGATAGTGCTGGGATCGCTCCGTGGTCCGGCAGACGCCACCTCTCTCCTTCGCTAAAAAGAATTGTAATCAAACTCACAAGTTTATTTCTCATATTCTCTCTTTCCTATGAAGGAGAGATGCTAGGCAAAGTCGTGAGCTGAGAAAAGTGAAAAAGAAAGCTGTCAATTTGCTGGCAGGTAACATAATGAATGTGTTGCTTCACCATATTTAATGGGACAGCGCTCGAACTCGAGCTGCTGAGATGAAGAGTACTCAGAAAATGGAGCGTGAGGACGAGAGTCGTCAGGGTGTCTGGAACAAGCTGCAAAGACACCAGGCAGCACCATGCATCAGGTTGGGTTTCAAACTAAACCAAAGCACGGCTTTGCAGGAGCTGGTGTGGCAGAAGGTAAACAGAAGCTGCCAAGCAGCAGTGTCCTGGCCTGGTGGGTGTCCACCAAACTGCTGGGGGGTGTTCTGCCCTGGCGGCATTTCTGGAAGAACCTTTTCTTCACATTTCTGTGCTGGCGTTTCGTGCCAGTTCCCACTGGGTTTGCAGTGAAAAGCCCAGCAAGAAGGTCCTCAGCATGCTAACCAAGAGTTGCATCTTCTAAAACCTTTGAGCAACAAAGACATACGCTCTTTTGGGACAATTCAATTTTTATTTATTGGGTTTAGCTATAGTAAACTCTTGCTCTGGACAGTGAAATTTGGCATTTCCAGCTGAGGACTCCTGTGTCCCACCAGAACAGATGACCAGTAATCAAAAGCGACTGATTTTTTTCACCTTGAGCAAGTCCCTTAATGACTCTTTGCCTCAATTTTCCCATCTGCAAATGTTTACTTCCCTCAGCAGAATTGGCTGTTGATTTACTTTTGCCTCCCGCTGAATAACGTTCCCGAAGACAAAGCGTTACTCAGGGCTAGGATTGGTGGTGCCGACGTTTCCTGCACAGGGACAAAAAGACTAGCACTATTTTTAGTCAGGGCTTTTCTTTCCATTGTCCCTTTCTCTGTGAAGCAGTATTTTCCAGGGCTTTTTAGTGCAGCTTTTTTTGGTGTTCATTGATTGAAAATCCTGAAAGATGAATTTTGGTTTCAATTAACTTTTATTAATAAAGATCACGCTATAAACTAATTCTTGGAGCATGGCTGAGATCAAATCCACTCTTAGGAACTGCATTTAGCATTCAGGGCTTGTGCCATGTATAAGTTGGCTGGACTTTTCTAGATTTTTATCAGTAAGAACATTTGATGTAAACCCGCATCGTTTCTCCAAGTGGTGTCATCTAAAGAAATGCTCTCTTGGCCTCAGTCAGCATTTGCAGCTTGGTTTTGGAAGGCC